GTCCCCTGCCTACAAGCATCACTGGTCCCCAGGACTTGCTTCAAGGCCAAAGACTTGTTGATACTTTGCATGGACCTTTCTATTTCACTAAAAACAAGGAAATATAGGGCTGGTTCAGCTGGTAGAGGCAACTGGCACCAAACCCGATGGCATGACGTCAATCCCTGGAACTCAGATGGCAGGAGAGAACCAACTCCTGCAAATCGTCCTCTTAAGCAAAGGAATCTTAGATACCTTTAACCCCTACATGTGCTTTTCACTTTTCTGACATTCCTACCTTTCCTTTTTCTGACCTTCAATTAACAGAACTTCAGTTCTGAAATGAAAGCTGCTGGGTGACTGTGACTTCACTGCAGAAATGAGCTCTCGTCTTCCCTAGGGGTTATCATCTTTTATGTGAAGACTAAAAGAGTAAATATGTAAGGCTGTGCTGGCTATTTTTTCTAACATGCCTCAAATCTGGTGCTGGAGTACAAAGGTAGCCACAAACAAACTATCAAGAAATGGGTGCAGGCCAGGCGTGGTGGCTCATGCCTTTAGTCTCAGCACTTGGGAGGCAGGGGCAAGTGGATCTCTGTGAGGTCAAGGCCAGCCTGGTCTACACAGCAAGTTCAAGGCCAGCTGGGTCTACAAAGGAGACCCTGTCTCAAACAAAACAAAACAAAAATAAAAAAATAAAGAAAAGAAAAAGAAAAAAAATGGGTGCAAAGCTTTATTTACCAACATGGACAGTGGGATGGGTTAGGCATTTGCCTACAGCATGCTCAACTCATGTATACCCCACACTTCTGGAAACACATGTTCTGTCCTTAGGATTATATAAGGTTTCTCCCTCTTAACAACAGAATTTATGGTTCTCAAAGGCTCAAAGGAAGTCTCATTTTCTGAACTATAACAGAAGTCATAAAGAAAAAAGTGGGTAGGCTGGACTTGGTGGTGCACACCTGTAATCCTAGCACAAATAAAGACACGAGGATATGGAGGTCAAGGCTATCCCTCACTATAAATGAATTTAAGGCCAACTTGTCCTACAGGAGATCCTATCTCAAAGGGGGCAGGGGAGGGAAGAGGACTGTGGAAGAATCTCAACCCAAGAAAAGAATGTAGGCATTCTAAAGATGAACGTGTAGGCAAAGAATGTATGGTGCTTTTCTTTTTCTTTTGGTGGTACTGGGGGTTGAACTTAGGTCCTCCCAGATGGTAGACAAGCGTTCTACCACTGAGCTATATCCCCAGTCCAGCACAGTGTTTCTCTACTATCCAGAGCCTCTCTCCTGTGCCTCAGAGTTATAGCTTCCCTGGATGTAGACCACTGGCCTCTCCATGGAGCCAGTGGCCATACACAGGCACTGAACTCCTTCCATTTGCAATCTATGAATGGACAGAAAGATTCCTCCTGTGACCCTGACCTCCACGGGCACAGTACAGAGCTCCAGGGTGCAATTTACTCCAGCACACTCAGCACTGGAGAGATGAGATGCCATCCTAGCACAGTGGTGGGCTTGTTCAGATTTGGCACGATTGGCCAAGAGCTCCAAGCTTCCTGGACAATAGGAACATTCAACCACTTGTATGTTGGAGGCTCAAATCATTTGTCTTTTACATAACTACATTTTTTTTCCATAAGGAGAATACTTAGATATGACCCAAGTCTTTCTATAAGCATATTGTTTGCTAGATGGCAGCAGAAAGTCCAAATTTGTGCTCTCCAACAAACCATTTCAACAGAAAATATATTTGGCAATTAATTACATAATTCCAGAAGAGAGTTTGTTCTTTTCCCACAGTGCCATCTAATTTCGGATGACGTTTCTTGCTATTGCTGATCTCTGGACCTAGTCCTTCAAGTTCTGGTCCTCTACTGCTAGTGCATTCCAGCAGAAACAGAACCCTGAGCCTTGTCTCCTTTTGCACTGCTGCCCCTGCCCTCACAGCCCACACTGTGTTGCTGCCACTTCCATCTACACATAGCCTTGAGGCTGGTGATGGGCACCACACTATTAGCTGCTGTCTCCTCTCTGAAGGCTTTGTAAATAATGAGCACTTTCCACAGTGTGTCAAAGGCACTGGCAGTCCCACATGTTCTTATTTAAGAGCCTGCCTGTGGCCTGTGGACCTGTTATCATCTTTGGCCCTGGGTACCAAATGCCTATAGCATATGTTCCATCATGATGATAAGCCACATTCTCCCCTTTCCCAAATGTCCAAAGTCCCTTCCTCCCTGCTCAGTCACAGAGATGGAGGAGAGATGGTGTGGACCTTAATGTTCAAAATAATGTGACATTTTATAACTGAATTGCCAACATTAGCAACTGGGTCTAGTATCTTCACCCCACACCTTCACACTTAGGGAAACGAATCTTCCTGTTCCCCATTTGAAACAGAAGAGGTTGGAACAATGGCAGGAGTTAGCAGGAAGCAAGGAAAAAATGGAATAGCTACTCTAGCTCCCATCAATCCCTGCTGGGGTATTTTTCACTGAGCTCACATCCTAAGAGAAGCTTATAGTATTTCCAAGGGGCTTGAAACCAACTTTTTTGCTGTTTGGATGGGCTGCAGGGATGTGATGACTAAAAAAAATTCTAAGGGTGGAATGTGCAAAGATTTGAGATTAAGCTTTATAAAGCAAATTCTGTGTGTATTTATTTTGAAAAGTATGTATCTGCAGGTAGACGCACAGAGAAAGAACTAGAATGATCAACACTAAACTGAGTGAGAAAAGTGCATGCTTCTTCGTCCTCTAATGCAGAGGGAGTGCCTGAGTTGAAAGTGGCAGCTGGCTCCAGAAACTTGTACTTCACAGTGGAACCTCTCCACCTGCCTGCTCCCTCCTGCCCTGGAGCTACTAGGATCCAACTGGCATAATGATTTTTGTTGTTCCCTCATAGCAAGTCTGGTTATCTTAAAGAGAAAAAGGAAATACAAAGGGACTAGCAGAAAGGAACAGCACATCCTGTTTCAACACGTTCCCTATAATCCCCATTTGGCATTGCAGGGCAGGCTTGTTTTTCCTGGTTATCAGTTGTGTACATTATGGGGCTGACTTTTCTTCTAGATAAAATGAACAAAGAAGTTGGTGAACATCAAAGCTATGAATCTCACTCTTCAAAGTTTCTATGGCAAGATCTAACTTTGACCTAAACATGACGTGGGAGTCTAGAAGCCTTAAGACCGCACACAGATTTGCAGAGAAAAGTTTAAAGAAAAGATAAAAGGGCAAAGAGAAAGGCTCTGTGTAGTCCACCAGCAGTTGACGGACTTGGATTCTGGGCAGAGGGCTTTCATGCTAATAAGGCTACCAGAGACAAAGGTCAGAGAGCTTTCATAGCCAAGGCTATTTTGCCAATGACACATGCTGATAGAATCAGGGTGTGAGCAAGACAGAGACATTGTCCAAAGAAAAACCTAATGCTTGGGGTGTTGTAAGATGAGGAATTAAACAGATTAGTGATTAGTGATCGGGGCCCTGGAGAGTCCACATTTTAAGGAGGGTCTTAATATAGGGTGACACCTTGGAGTAGCTGGTCCCCTGCCTATCAGGACCTTCTAATGGAAGTGAGAAAGTCATGCTTTATTAGGAGCCTACATCTGGGTTAGAGAACTACAAATGGAAAAGCACTTGTTAATTCACATAGCAAACATCATCCCCATGTGAAACAAACCTTGACCTAAGAGGTCCACACAAATCCTCTGGCCAAGCCTCATTGAAAAAAAAAACAAATCAGATGCAATTTGTTCAGGTCTTGGCCTGTTTCAAGTTTTCCTGCTGCTAAGGCACATGGTTTCTAGGTTTCTGGACTTTTATGGGAGACCCTGAATGAGCATCTCACTTGAGGATCTCTTATTTCCTGGTACCGTTGTATCCAAAACAGAAAAAGGTCAATTACAAATTTTTAGTCCAATAAGTATCTACAATTTCATATGGGCAACAAAGAAAAATATACTAAAGAGCATATAAAACTGTGGTGAACAATGGAAACTATGGGAAATAGTTATCCAATTGTATATCAAAAACAGAAGGAAACAAAGATTGGGTAGCATTTAAATAGCTTACAAAATCTTTGTATAAATCTTTTCAAGATCTAAAAGTAACTTGCCCGGTCAAAAGAAGTTGTAACATCATAAAAATTAAGCTCCTTAGGATTCATATAATTTTATTAAGTTGGGTTGTTTTTGCATTTTTGAGATAGGGTCTTGCTATGTAGCCCAGGCTAGCCCACACCTTCTGCTCTTCTTGCTTCAGGCATCTGAGTGTTGGTACCTACAGGCCCAAGCCACCACAACTGGCAGTAAGTTTCTGTCAAGAAAATGTCCAATTTCTCTCAACTTATGTGAGAATCTGGGTTTGATTCATGTTGAGAAGACTTGGACCCCAACTACAAATTTCCTTGGCTGAACCTGAAGACTATACCTCCTCACCACCCGCCCCAATTCTCACTGGTGTGGACATAGCATTAGCACCCGGGTCACCAGTCTGCCTGATTCGTTGCAATCAACTGATCTTATCAGAATAACCATCTATCTATACGTGTGTTGTCAAGGAAGCTGGCTACAAAATATTACTCAGATAAGAAAACAAATCAAATTGCAGACATACATGGCTCAAATAGTCCCACTTTGGTGCCCTTGGTGTGACGCTGAAGGAATAAGCACATCTACTTTTTCCTAGATATACACACAACTAGATTAGAAACTCTTACATAGTAGCAAATGCCTTTAGTCTCAGCACTGAGGAGACAGAGAGGTAGGTGGATCTCCATGAGATTGAAGCCAGCCTGGTCTACATGGTGTGTTCCAGGCTAGCTGGGGTTACAGAGAGACTGTCTCAAAACAAAAACAAAAAACAAAACAAAACCAGAAAATCTTTTTAAAAAAAACAACAAGCACAAACTTCTTGTGTAATTTCAACTGTACTTTAGAGTTTACCAAAGGCCCTTGCAGACTCAAGATCCCTGTTTCCTCCCAGCCCACCAAAGACTCAGCAGCAGGCCCGGCCTTACCTCGGCATTCCACATCAGGGTCTCCCCAGAAGAGCTCCTGGCACTCGCTGCAGGTGCGGCCTCCAAAGCCCGGCATGCACTGGCACTGGCCTGTGAACTGCAGCCAGAACACAGACCCTGGTCAGGTGGTTTCAAGGGAGAAGCCAGCTGTAGTTCCCTGACCCCAGCTACCAGGCAGAAGTGGGATGATCAGCCTGGGGGAGAAGGCCCCTCACCAGCACCTCCTAACTGTTCTCTTGCAACAGGGCTTGGAAAGGTCTATAGGATGGTAAGATTTATGTTTCTTCTCTTTAATCTTCACAGATCAATACCAATCCTAGGCCTCCAGATCACTAACTTTGGAAGAGAGTCACTTTTAGCCTATGTAGTAAATAACAGCACTTTTTGCAGTGCTGAGGATGGCTATGCAGCTACTCTTTCTTTGAAGAGTAGTTAAGAACAGTGTCTAATTTGGGAGTCAGAGAAGAGAGAGAAATGCCTGTCCATTCTCAGATGAGCCCGCATCCACAGCTGGGATGCTGCACTGAAAAGCTACAGTTAAATGAGGACAGTGACACTGCCTCAGGCAAGGGGCTCAAGTGAGAGCTGACTGCCAGTTCATGCTGTTTGCCAAGCTGTGTGCAATGTTCCCCTAACTGTGACAAAGCTATCTGCGGGCTAGTGGCTAGTGTTTGGTAAAGGCCTCGCCCCTGGCCCAGCCCCTCACCTCGTTGCAGGATGGCCCGAAAGAGTGTGCACCACTGCAGCTACATGGCTCACAGCCGGTCCCACTGGCCAGCTGCCAGGTGTTGGGGGCACAGTGGTCACAGTTCTGCCCAATCACATTAGGAAGGCACAAGCACTGACCAGTGGCTTTGTCACACTGGCAGTCAGAACCATTACAGTGCTCCTTCACAGTGCCCAGGTAATTGCAGACACACTCTGAAATAGAACAGCACCATCAAATTGACATCTGGGCACATTCACAAACAACAGGCATGCAAAAGTTAGCTGCATCTTAACAGCTAAAAGTTTCCTTCTCCAAATCTCAATCTTGATGCAAGAAGGACAAAAAAAATGATGCAAAATAATCTAAGATTACTGGTCTTTAGAAGTTCTTGTGATTGGCTACACAGCTCTGACACCCCCGGGAGACGACACGCTCACATGAAATACAATGGCAGATTCTGCTTGCTGAGGAATATTTTCATAATATGCAGATTCAAAAAAGTTGGTGGTGAGTCATTTTGAAATTGAAGATTTAATTGGAAATAATCAAAAATATGCCAGTGGGAATGGAGACATCCAATGATCTCAAACTCCTGGCAGGAAACAGCCATAGTAAGTGCTAGAAGCAACAGGTTGAAATGAAGCCCATTAACCTAGTAAGACTTTCAGGAATCCTGCCCTGCTGGTCCCCAGCATTCCACACATGTTTTATAAACAAAACACAGAGGCCTGGGGGCTTTGTGGCAGAGAAAGCTTGGCTGATCTCCTGATAAGACAGAAATAGGAAGATCTGAAAGATTTTGCAGGTTACTTTTTTCTCTGCCCTGGCAGAGGCTCTGAGCCATTAATAACATCAGGGAAGTATGGGCCACCCACAGCGGCATTCAAGGTCTCTAAGACCTAGCCAATCAGCAAGTTCAAGGAAAGAACACAACAAGGATGCACTCTGCTGTGTGGCATTTATCTTGGTGACAACCACAATCTCCCCTGGCCCAGAGCCACATCTTGAGACTTGTCTTACCAGAAGATGAGGATAGAAAGAAAAAAAAATTCAGTCTCATCTTTCATTTGTTGACTGTAAAATTTCACCTCACTGAACAAGTGTTTCCCCATGTGAAATAAGTACACCAACAACAGACCCAGATGATAAGGAAAGGGTGGTGATCACTGTGATGTATCTTACTTCTACAGTCCTGGCGGAGGGCATCACCATAATACCCATATTGACAGAACTGGCAATGGTCCCCTTCCGTGTGGTACAGGCACTTGAGGCACCTTCCAGTTTCCTTGTCACAGGCCTCTGGATCTGTTGTGTCAATGTTGTGGTGACACTGGCATGGCTGACATGACCCCCCAAAGTCCGAGGGATTGCCAAAGAATCCAGAGGCACAGTCGTCGCATCTGGAGCCTATTGGACAATAAAACCAAGCACAATGTTCAGTTTAAGCTGTCTAAAGGTCTGCTCACCAGCCCACTGGCATGCCGGCCAAAAGGTTCCAACCAGGTGGTGCTTTCTGTCACCTCACAATTTACTAAGCCTAGAGCCTGGGATCTCAGAGGCGAAAGAGCTGTGAGGGAAAGATGTATTCTGTGGTCTTCAACACAGCTTGAGTGGCCTCAGAGGCCACAGCAGGACAGCTATGACAGCCTTAGCTTCTGGTTATACCATACTAGGTATACTAGGTGGAGCATACTAGGAAGGAAACAGCCATGGAAGAAGTGGATTTGATGCTAAATCCTAACCCAAATATTATATAAAAATGGGAAAAAAATCAGTGAGCCTCTGTGAGCAACCTGTCAAGAGATCTTCAGTGATGACCCAGTTTCCCACAAAATCCTAAAATGATACTCAGGAAGAATTTCCTGGGCTGAGCATGAGCCAATCTAGCAATTGATCAGTAGCTTCAAGGATGAACTAAAACAAAGCTAAGCTCTCTCTCACAAGTGGCTGCATCACTGTTAGCAGCCCACGTGAGCAGAATGACAGTGAGCATATTCAGCTTTGGCCTGTCCTTTCCTGGTGATTCCTAGGTGGTCTTTTCTTCCTTTAGCCCACTGTTGGGTCACCTCGTAGCTTTGAGGTACTGCCTAGGAGTGAGGTATGGGAAAGAATAAAATGATTCTTCCTAGTTAAGAAAAAAATCATTCTTGAGGATTTTTACGGCTTTCAGTGTTTGCTATACTGTCAGTTTAATACTATTCTCTTCCACACTCAAAAACTGACTCTGCCCCACATGCCACATATGGGACATAAGAATAGAAACTTTCTGACTCTCTTATTCTTTAATTAAGGATTGTAAAGTTGTATTTAATTGGCTCACTCTTCATCTTTTTCTCATTAATAATGAAGTAAAGACACATCCTTTCTTCCCTCTTTGCTCCCCAGCGTATGGGCATGACTTACCAATGTACCCGGGATCACAAACACATGCAAGCTGGAAAGTAACGGGGTCTTGGTAACAGCTCCTGGCAAACTGGCGTCCACTGTCAGGACCATCTGGGCAAGGGCAAGGGCGGCAGTGATCTCCAGACCCAATGATGGGGTCACCGTAGTAACCATCCAAGCACCTGCATTGGTTGAAGAGAGTGAGGCATAACACAGAGTCAGAAGAAACCTGTCCCAAGAAAAGGCTTAGAAACTGTGTTCCATTTGAGGATGTTATCACTCGTTCCTCATGTTCACACATGCAGGACTTTGCATAGCAGCAGTGGTTTTCAAACTGTAGTTATAATCAGAATCCCCTAGAGGGCTTGCTTAACAGATTGCTAGGCTCCTCCACCAAATATTTTGATTAACTAGGTTCCTTGTGGTGCTGATGCTAGTTGATGTGGGAAACACACTTGCAAGACCACTGTATTATGGTGATATCCCTGGATTCATGTGGTCCCTCATTCGCTGCTCCCTATGAGCACCCCACTGACCCACTGACTGCCTGCCTGGATTTAGTTCTGCTTTCTCTTTGCCTCAAGGAGTCATTGTCAGCATGGATTATTATTGTTAGCCACTGTGTGTTAGCATGGTGGAGGTCGGGGGCGGGGTAGGTAAATGGGTTGGAGTGGGGGGTGGGGAGGAGATACCTAATAAGCTAGTAAGCTTATCATGGCTATAGGTTTAAAAAAGAAAATTATTGACACAATGGCTATAGATTTAAGCCAACCTGCCATCCAGCTTTTTCTAGTAACAAAGCTGATAGGAATGCTCTGCAGCTGTGACTCCTGAGTCCATCCCTTACATGGTTCCAAACTTGGGCAGGAAAGAGGGGTGTTATATATAAACTTTCAAATCCACAGGTCCAATCTCCTCCCTGTTTAAGACAGAGCATGTGTGGAGCTTAAAGGGTTTGTAAAGCTCACACATCTAGCTAAATAATGAGCCAGGATTTCAATTCAGCCTCCTGGCATTTAGCAAGTAATTAACTTCCTGTGTCATGCTTCTGACCTCGAGGTAACTAGGTTGCTAACTAGGTTGCTTTTTTATTCTCCATAACATAAAAGTTTGAAGGAACTTTGGAGATCATCAGTCTACCCTGGCTATTACACACACAGGAAGCTGGATACTCTTATTTACCCGAGGTCATAAAGCAAGTGAAAAGCAGAGCTGGCCCTGCAACTCAAGTTTAAGGATTTCCAGTTCAGGGTACTGTTCATTTGTTTTATTGTTTGAGACAGAGGTACTAGTCTAAAATGAGGGAGAAGGATCACAAAATAGAAGAAAGCTATTTGGAAAATATTAACTATGCATTAAACATTTTGTATAACAGTATCTGAGGGAGTTTCTGAGACCTTTCTAGGTGAAATAAAAGCCAAGATGTCGTGACAAAATTGCAGTGTTCATTTCCTGCCTCTCCCTGTTCCTCCTCCTGAAGGAACATCTGACCACATAGTTTCTTTTTAGATTAATGGGATTAAAACTTTGATCATCTGGGAATGAGGAACAGAATGATATGAAATTTGCTCATATTGGACAGCAGATTTTAATGATTTAATGAAGTGTTATATCCAAACCTAACACTAAGAGCCTTTCCTTCTCCACGTCCTCTCATTCTCCACAAGAAATCAAAGCTCTTTATAAACAAAGCCCAAAGCCAGTTGTAAATATCAGCCCAAACTATTTCCACAGGATGTGCTTTCAAGTACATCCTAGTGTGCCTCTTTTCGAATTGGCATGGTAGATTCGCATTCTTTGTTTACCTTTGGTTTCTTATTCTGCTCACTCCTTGTTAATCTATTTTTTTTATCTATCTCTTTCCCTCATATTAATCTTCTATCTTCTGAAAGAATCAACGAAGAAAAATTTAGGACAGAAAACAAAGATGACACCAATATATTAATTTCCTCCTTTCACTCTTATGTAACCATTTCCTGTATTTTGGAGGGGGGAAGGGGGTCTTTTTGAGACAGAGTCTCCCTGTAGACCCAGCTGGCCCAGAACTCACTATGTAGACCAGGCTGACCTTGACTCACAGAGATCCACCTTCCTTTGCCTCCTGGGAATGCTGGCATCAAAGGCCTGTGCCACCTTGCCCTAGCTCCCCTTATTTTTATAATACAATTTTGTAGCTGGAGTAACTGATTCATAGGAGTAGCCACTGGAACCTCCAAATTCCTGACTATCACACTAGTACTAAGCCAAGAACCATTCATTTGCTTCATGAACACCTTGATGCTTTACACTGACCACATACTGAATTTTCATTAACAACTCCTTCTCACTGGATGAGCATCTTTATCACTGGCTAAGGCACTCAAGTTTCAGAAGTGGCTTTTTACAACAAACTCCCATGTACAGTGGTTTAAGGCAAGATTTAGTGACATAGAAAGGTAGAGACTCATCCCTGCCGAAGCAGGTCCTAACAGTCTGCATTTCTCAATCAGCAATGAACAGTATAAGGCAGCACATAGGTTTTTCAAACCGACTACGTTTATCCACTGAGTTAAATTGCTGTCACTGGAGGCATATTCTATGTCCTATTATTTCTTTCTTTTTCTTTTGCCAGTATCTACCTAGTCCCAGTCCACCTGGAAGTCACTATGTGGACCAGGCTGGCCTCAGTCTCACAGAGATCGGTCTGCCTCAGTCTCCCAAGGGTTGGAATTAAAGGCGTGTACCACCACGCCCAGTGTCTATATCCTATTCTTAAATCTATCTGTATCCATAATAATTACTCAATTAGTATTTACTAACTGGGGGACAGCTCTACTTTGCTCATTTTATGTCTCCTGGAAACTGACTTCATACAATGTTTTGAAAAACAAAGCTATTTAAAATGACTAATCCCTCTTGGATGTGCTTTCTGCTTTGACCCAAATTAGGCATTAATATTTCTTAACTCTCATTCAAAGCCAGAAAGTTCTGAGGTGGATTTCTCATAGATCTATAGTGAACACCAGGGCAACTCCCAAAGGGCAGACTCAGGGTGGCTGTGACCGCTGCTGCGGCCCTAGCACCAGAACAGTGCTGGACACAAACCAGATGTGAACTACATGTATACTGAATAAATGAATAAGTTCCTAGAAAATACCGGGGTAGTCAGAAATTAACCATTTAGAGTTTAGAAGAGATTAATTCTGTGGCTTGTCTAAGATAATGCTTACTTAGCCAAAGATGATGTCATTCTTTCTTCTTTTTCTTTTTTTCCAGACAGTCTTGGTCTCACTATGTAGCCCAGGCTTGCCTCAAGCTCCTGATCCTCTTGCCTCTGCTTCCCAAGTGCTGGGATGCCAGCCATCGCGCCCAGTATGTTATCTTGCTTTCATGAGGCTGTGCCCACATACCTTTCACAGTTATGGCCCGTAGTGTAGTCCTGGCAGCTCAGACACTCCCCTGTCACTGAGTCACAGTCTTCAGCATGACCGTTACATTGGCAGGGCTGGCAGCTGGGGAAGCCCCAGTAGCCAGGTAGGCATCGGTCACACTGCCGTGCGTATATTCCCTGGAAACAGTGACACTGGCCAGTGACAGCATCGCAGAAGGCACTGACAGATCCTTGCAGGTGGCAGTCACAAGCTGTAGACACAAGGCAAACAAAGAACTCTTTATCCCAAACTTCCCTACAATAAGCAGTGAGAGGAGCAAACTATGCAGAACTTGGGTCTAACAAAGATTTATTTGGTCTGTTATTTGTAGGTAGCTCTGCTTTGAAATTAAAATTACATTTTTTTTTTCTCCATAGTTATGATGAGATGGTGGTAAATAAAGCAAGTGCTGAAGGAATGATAGAAATTATAAGAAATCAGTGTTCTGTAAATGGTGGGCACTGCAGGACCTGCTGATTGGTCAGGAAAAAAAAAAAAAAAACTTATCTGAGAAGAATGACACAACCAAAGAGCTCTGCAGAGGGAGGGAGGAAAAAACAAGACAGCCACAATAATGCTTCTGTGACCTCGGAACAGCACTGTTCAGACACAAAGGGCAGCTGTAGTTGATGTCTAGTAAGTAAAATATAGTATAGATGTTCATAAGGATTTTAAGTTATGTGATGGATTGAATTATCTTTAAGCCATTCAGGAGATTTCTATGGAAGATCTGCGATCTAAACTGTTAATGTTAGCTATTTCAGAGAACTTGCAAAGAATGTCTAGTTCCTGTGTGTCTTAGGAGTTACTAAATAAGAAATGTGCATTATTACCTGTCAACTTTTATGAGAACTTTTGCAAACGAATCTGTAAGCAGGTAGCTTATATAGAGATTGAGAATGTGAGTCCCTTTTGTTTAAATTTTAATGTTTTAATATTTATTACTTTTTTTTTTTTTAAAGAACTCTTTAAATAGAGATACATGCCCTCATAGGCACTCGACCCCAGTTCATAATGTTTCAATAGCTTCAGGGTGAAGCATTGCCTATAGAAGTTAGGGAAGCCCCAGGATCACTAGGTTCATCTGAATTCATTACAAAGCTTCTTAATACACCTACGTTTGCATCCATTGGGGCCAAAGCCAAAGGTGCCCGGGGCACACCTGTCGCAGGTTCTTCCAACCACATTTGGCCGGCACTGGCACTGGCCTCCGTTGGGGTCACACACAGAACTCAGGGAACCCTGAGGGTCACATTCACAAGCTGCAGGGAGAAGACAGGTCAGACTGATGACATGGGCAGCACATCACACCTGCCCTGGAACTGGTCCTCTGCCTCCCCTCAAACTCTCCCTGACCCTTTCACCCCTTTTTTACTTTGTCTCCTTAAAAATGTCAGTTAAAAAATAAAATCACCCTATGCTGACTGGGAGAGTGCAAACAGGGTAGTACTGGCAGATCAAAGCAGTTTCTCTAGGCAGGAGGGTGTAAAGTTTTCTCCCCTTTCCTCCATAGCTCAGATATCAGAGGACATTAGACCTCTGTAACTCTTGGGAGTTGGCCTGACCTTTCACAGACAAAAACATATCTGATGCCTCTGATTCTCAAACCCCCATGTCTATAGCCTACAGGCTACATCCGACATAGTTCTCCCTAGTTACCTCTTATTTGTATATTTCTTTTAAAGATTTATTTTTATTATTTAAAATTGTGTGTATGTGGGTGGGGTGTGTGTGCACATGAGTGCAGGAGCCTACAGAGGCTAGAGGTATTGGATTCCCCTGGAGCTGGAGTTACAGGCAGTTGTGAGCTACAGGATCTGGGTGCTGGGGACCCAGAGCAATATGTACTCTTAACCACTGAGTCATCTCCTTAACCCCTTTATAAATCCTTAAATACTGATTCCATCTTCAATGGCGCTTGATCACTAAAACATTTATAAAAATAAAGACAAACCCATGTTGAGACACTAAGTCTTGTGTGCTGTCTCACACAGACCTTCAGGACATGCATCCTATTACACCACCTGGTGCCAAACACATCCTGTAGCCACTGCAGCTGCTAAGCGACACCTACCGAGGCCTGTTTGGTGAATCAGGGCAGAAATGCTGAAGATGATGTTTCTGCAGACATCCGTCATTGGTGTCTTCACCACACTTCTGCTGTTCTCCAGACACCGGTACCTCTGGAAGGTTTCCCAGACACTGTTGGTGACCTCCCCATCTCCTGAGCCTCCAACGGTGAAGATGTCCAGGGACTTACAGTAGGGCATGAGAACTAGCTGCAGGGGACGAAAACAACAGAATGTCCTCACAGAGGTGCCCGCATCATCAGGTAAATCCAGTAATCATGTCTAAACCCCCATGCTGTGCTCCTCCCCCAACACTGTTCTGCAAATCTTCCCAGTCTTAAAGACTCTGGCCAGAAAATACCAAGATATACTTCACATTGCTTTGTGGGTCCTGAAATAATGTTACTTCATGAAGCACCTCATGTTTGGAGGGAAGTGGGTTGAATGCATCCTTCCCACAAGTTAGACTATTATAAACAAAGAAACTGGAGGGTAGAGGACTCATTCTGTCTCACCGCCTGGCACTGCCCCTCCATGCAACGCAAGGCAGCAGCTGGACACTTTCTTGCGTGTGTGGAAAGGAGCCTGGCACTTACTGAGTCGATGAGCGTGTAGGGGCTCTCCACGTCACTATCAGAGGAGGTGTACTGTGGCAGCTCCAACCTCACAGTGTAGTTCATCCCCTTCTCAAAGCACACTGGGCGAGGGAGAACCACGTATCTGCCAAGTCAAGAGAGAAGAATGACAAAAAACAGCTTTTAAGCTTGATGAAAAATAAAAGCTCTTTGGTGATAATTCCAATGGAAAACTTCCGTAACCAAGGCTTCCCTCTGAAATGGTAACTTGATTTGCAAGGTACCAGAAAGATGAATGTAGGTATTGGTTTTATTGTGCTGCAAACCATTGTCACACTGACCTTGAGCCTGGTGATAAGGACACCACCTGATTGTCATCATCAGGAACAGTGTTACCACATCGGCTGCTGGTTGGAATCTTCCCAGGTCGCTGGACGGTGATGACAGCTTTCTCCCAGTGGTCAGGCAGCTAGAGCAGGAAACAAACAACTGAAGGGAACAGCTGCATGAGCCCACTGCAGCCCATCCAGTTAGGAAGACCTCTCCAAACTGGTCAATTACCAAGTTTAAACAGAAAACACAGGCTGCTTTCACTTCCCTCTGTCACTTCCTCTGCTACTAAGCTCCAGCCCGAATCCCTTCAACTCTTCTCCTTGCCTCTTCCCAATGTGTCTTTCTGTCTGCTCTCAAACCGCTCATGTAATAACAATCATACCCCCCCCCCCCAATAATATACAGTCCAAATGCCTTTGCTGGTCCTGGCATTTTTCCCAAGAGCAGCTGTAACCACATCTAGCTCTGTGAAGGATTCTCAACGAACACCTCTTCATTTCTGCTCCTTTCTTCACTTTCTATCAGTATGCCAAACTCCACTCACATACTGTATGGAACCAAGCACTGAAGAGCCTGAGAGAAGAGGACTGAGTCCCAGGCTAGCCTTGGCTGCAAAGCAAGACCCTGTCTCTAAAGAAAAATACAAATTAACAAAAATTCATACCCATACTATAAGGCCTAGGTTTGAGTCTGTTTGAAACATTCTAGAAGCCCTAGCTCAGTGTGCCTGGTATATGACTTGTTCCATCTTCTGGTGCCATCTTCAATTCTGCTGTCATGCTTCTAGACTTTCACAGCAGTTGGGGGACAGCCACTGTCAGGCCTTAGGAGGAGAGTTTCTCATACACTCTTACTACCTTAACACTGTCAGGCCCCACAAGAGATCACTAAATGTTTGAGAAGCTTGATTCAAGGTAGATAGAGAAGATTGCAAAGCCAGTGGCTAATCTATTCCAATGCAAACCTGACCATTCACAGAAAAATCTAGCATCCATTAGAAGTACTGCTAACACTCTACCCTGCCTCACTTCACACACACACTTCCGCCCCCCCAGGGCCACTGAGGGCTTCTTTCTTCACCTGTGGCTCATAGCGAATTAGGATGTCATACTCCATGGAATAGGGTATGTTGTCAATGAAAAACTCCAGGTAAGCCCCCTCAGGCACACGGACAAAGCCAGCTCCGGTCCAAGATGGAGTCCGGTCCTGAATGTATTGCCGCTCCACCACGCTGACTCCCTAAAGACAGAAGGAACACTAGTTATGCCTTACAGGAAATGGCATTGAGATACATTTCACAGCCAAAGAAGTCCAAGGATTCAAAATGTGGCTATATTCTGTTTCTTACAAACTTCCCAGAAGATGTAAAATTTAATATATAAACAGGTAATTGGTTTGCTTTACTTTGTGGTTAGAGTAGTCTTGTGACATTGGAGATGGAACACCAAAGGTGGGGATCTACCTTACATGACATAGGCAGGGGGATAAATATAAAAAGAAAATCCCAACTGCTCATCAGCATGGCTAACAGTGATGAAGTACTCCCTGGATTCTCCAAGGCCAGCCCCATATCTACTAGTTTGTCCTCCTATCCTAAGTACATGCTAATGAGCGCTCTCTACCAATGAATCCATTCTGATGAACTACAGACACAGCTACTACACAGAAGTCGTGGCTGGTCATTTCCAAAGATGGCCATCATCATTTGCTTTCTTCCTTATACCTATGAGGAGCTTTACCCACCAAGAAGCACAGCCAATGTTACCCTCCCTGTGAACAATGCTAACCTCAGATTTGTGACTAATAGAATGTCAGAGGATGACATTTTAGGACTTAGAGATCTGGCAGTTTGTTACTTCCTCACTAGAAGCCAGAAGTCAAGTGACAAGTCTCACTGTCCTGATCCTGCCATGCTGTGAGGAACCTCAAGAGAACAGCCTGGAGAGGTCAGGTGGGGAGAAAGAGCTCTCTTGCTGTGCCAGTCATTGACGCTAAAGTGCCAGGCAGACATTTTATGTCAGTACGTTTTGGGATGCTGAAACACATTTGAGCATACATGATGTCAGATCTACAATAACTCTGGAGCACAAATAGAATAATGGAAAATACTTAATCGTGCAGACATATTAACCAAAAGCTTTATTAGGAAATGCTCCAAAGTCTACTTGTGAGTCCCAGATTGACTTAGTTTTAAATAAAAATGTTTTCAAGAAAGCATGTCTCCGCCCTTATTTTATGTTCACCAATGAAAACTATAAAATGCTTCTTAAACAGCATCTTTAGAAGCACAGATATGTCACAACAGTCCCCCATGAGATGCTGCTTTGCCAGTCTGCCACACTTCCCTACTTACAGGCCCCAAATTGCCTTCCTCAGCTTCATAGATGTAGTGGTCCAGAGTGGTGAAGTAGTAACCGGATTCCACCTCGTTGCACTGCCGCCCAATCATATGAGGCCGGCAGGAGCACTGGCCTGACTCCGCAGAGCAGCTATGGGAAGGAGAGAGCAACTGAGCTTACTGTGGGCATAAAACTAACCCACTGGATGCAGTCCTGTATTTGCCATTAAATATATTGTGGCATAAGATGCTTATGCAGAATTTTTATTTCACTCAAAAAGTAAGTGCGTGGAAAAATAATACCTGTAAATGAATCCAAAAGTTAGCCTAAAAACACGACCCCGAACATTCTTTGTGGTCATTTTGGTTTGACCTCTCTTCCCCACTGCTCCCTCTCTGCAGCATGTTGAGACTTTCCACAGATACAAACTTTCTTCCTTTGGCATCTTGTATCTTTTGCTTCATCTCCTTTCCTTTGCTTCAGACCTACTTACCCAGCTCCTTGAAGGACATCTTCAATTTGGCTGTCCCAGAGGTGTCCCGAACCAATGGCTCCAAAAGGCATCGCTTGATCCCTCCCATGACCTCTACTGGGATGAAGGCAGCCCACCCCACACTGAGGCAACAAGAACCAACTACTGGGACCTGACCCTTTCCCACAGGCTGTGCCTGCTTTTTTCCTACTGTCAGCAAAGCCAGTGACTTTCTTCTCATTGATCTCCTTTTTGTCAAAGTTGGAACCTCTTAACCCAGGCTACAACCCCTCTGCCCAGCTGCCCCATGTAAACTTTCTAGGATGCACCAACCAGATAAGTTCCTCGCTCAATGGCCTTGAGGAGCTGCACTCCGCCTTCTAGTCAGGCCCTTTTCCAGGCTCACCTCTCCTAGACCTCTCCGACCACACTGGATACTTGCAATTTCTCAACTACACTAGGTGACTTGGTCTCCCTTTGCTTACCTTGTTCCTTCAGCCTAGAATGATCTCTCTATCCCTATAACAAAGAACCTATAGATGGAGACTCAACTCCCCTGTCGTGGCATTTCCTGACTACCAGCCCCCATTCCACAGAGCAAACTTTCTCCTTCATGCCACAACCTCCTTGAGCGACAAATGATGTCTCTTTTACCTCTGTATGCATAACACCCACAACAAACCTTTAGAGAAGGCATGCATTCCTTCAAGTTGAGGCACGGAGTCTTCAGATCCTTCTCTCCAGAGTCTAACCTAACTTTCCTAAGGTTTATTTGTCAGTCTTATTTTTTTCTTAAGATGTAGTTGTCTAAACAGTACACCTTGAAGCCATGCTCCTCCTTCCTCAGCCTCCTGATTGCTGGGATTACAGACTGTACTACTACCACACCTGGCTTCATGTCTCCATTTCCATTCCAAAAGAAGTCAAGATGTGATTTACAACTGTATTTAGCCCACTCCCAAAGTTCCATCTGGTTTTCTCATTCCAAAGCTCATCTGAAATCAAGCACTGAGGCAAGCTACAACTCTCAGGACGATGTAACAGGCCAAGGCTTGTTTAAAATGTCCCAAATGACTGTCACGGTCCAGTGGACATCCTCCTTATATATCATGTCATTATCCCGCAGGAACAGGAATTCGAAACACCACAGGGCCAGCTCCCAGGGGAGGAAAACCTGTTCTAATTAGGATCCAAAATTCAGCTATCAGAGATTGCATCATGGGGGCAAAAGAAACACCCCCGCTCCCAGCAGATGTTTACTAAAGAAGCAAACGTCGGGGCTGGAGAGATGGCTCAGCAGTTAAGAGCACTGGTTGTTCTTGCAGAAGACCCGGGTTCGAATCCCAGCACCCACATGATAGCTAACAACTGTCCATAACTCCAGTCCCAGGGGATCGGACAGCCTCTTCTGACATCCACGGGCATTGCACGACATGGGTGCACTGACCTACATGCAGGCAATACATGCATACACATAAAATAAAATTTTTTTAAAAAAGGAAGCAAATGCCTAAAACATGAATTACCAAAGAAGATGACAGCTCCCTCGCTGTCATCAGTGACAAGCAATGAGGGTTAGGTTGGTGATACCCATGTGTTCCCGAGCCTACCTTTCCCCGGCAGCACCATTCTAAACAAGCAACAATCCCAGGAGGACCTGATCACATGGAAGGACCTAGAAAGACCTCACTTCTGGTAACTCTGTGACGACAAGTTTTTGTGGCCATTTCAGATCACCTCCACCATTAAGCAGGTCTCCAAGTCCACAACGACTGCTTCAACTACCCTGTGGCTCTAAGAGTCCCCACAAAGATGGCCTTCAGCCCTAAAGCTCTCAGCACCCCATCTCTGCTGTGCTCAATTCTCCAAGGCTAGCCATCACGGGATGCTCCCATGGTCAGCCTGGCTGCTCTCTAATTTGTTCTGTCCTTAAATGTTCATCACTACTCACCCCATCTTCTCATTCTCTCCCTAAACGCTCAGCAGATTTCAAATTCTTTCTAACGGTGTCTGTGAGATACAACTTTATTCTTTCTTAATCCCAACATTTGAGTCTTCTTTCAAAATGTTTCTCCACTTGGCAGCCTCCTCTCGTGTCACTGCCACTATCTTAGTTCAGTGCCTGTTGCCACAGCAGCTTCTTAAACTGACATCTCCCTGTGTCCACCTTCCCACACCTCTGCTTCCACAAAACCTGAAGGTGTTTCTCTGTACCTAATCATATCAGATTATGAAACTTCTGCTGGGCTTGCTGCCGTCCTGTCCCAACAGCATTCCCTGAAAACAGCTGCTTCTTTTCCAGGCGCTGCCCTGTGCCTACAGAGGAGCCACACTCCTTGTCCTCTTCAGCAAATGTTTACTGAACAAATATTGTTCCTGCAAACTTTGAGCTGGCATCAGGGCCCTCACTTTTAGTCCACTGTATCATTCTTCCAAATCAGTCCTTACACTTCTTTGGTAAGAACATTATTTCCGGATAAATGATGTTGGGGAGAAGTGCAAAGGGGAAGGGAGAGGAAGAAAGAGAGGGAAGGCTGGGGGAGGTCCCTGTCCTCAACAACTTAGAATCTAATTGGGAAGATAAAAAACAAAGCAATTAACCAAGATCAAATGCTGCCAGGAACAAAGCACTCTGGGTGAACAGGAAGATGTACTTCATATGATGGAGAAGGTTAGGGGAGGTTTCATGGAAGATGTGGCCCTGAAACTTGAGGAAGATTCTGACAGGCAGGGAAAGGGCAGGAATGGTGAGAGAAAGAGATGGAAGATGTCGGCAGATACAGCAAAGATCAGAGCAGACCTCCACCCCACCAGACCCACTCTCATCCCTCCACTTTGACCCTTTCCTCCAGCTAGAAGGCCCTCCTCAATGTGCTGTTAGGCATTCAAACCTCACTCTGCTTTTACAACTCCTGCCTAAATGCTATCTCTTCCCCAACAAGAGAAAAGATGACATATAACGATTATATTCTGTGTCTACTTAAAAAGTTACATGACAGAAATGCTATACTTTATAATTTTTTAATACTCTCCACAAGTTTCTCTGTAAATGAAATACAAATTCAACCTGTTGAACCAGTAAAATAATGACCTAAAATAAAGTTCCGTTCTGTGCGAGGCAGAGCCTCCGAAGATACTTTTGTCCTCATGTCTGGAATCTGTGATTCGTGACCTCACGCGGCAGAAAGCACTTTGCAGATGTGAATAAGGACCCTGAAATGTGGGAGATACCATAGATTATCTAGGTGGACTCAATCTAATAACGTAAGTGATTAAAAGTGAGAGGGGCAGGCAGAAAATTGGGTCAGAAAGCTGTGACATAAGGAATTGACAGACCCTACACAGCTTTAAAGATGGAGGAAGGGGGCTGTGAGCCAGGGAATGTGGGCTGCCTCTAGAGGCTGGGAATGGTGTTTAGATATCAGCCAGCCAGAAAGTGGGAACATCATCCTACAGCTGCAAGTAACTGCTAGACTCTACCAGAAACTTGAATAGGCTGGAAATAGTCGCCCCTATGGTCCACAGAAAGCAATGTACCCTACCAACATCTGTCTGCAATCCACCGAGAAGTCTGACCTACCCAACTACAAGATAACAAGTTTATGGTGTTTTCAGTCATTAAAATGCAGTAATTTGTTCTGACAACAACAAAAACTAACAGTGGCTCTGTTTCTCAATAGGTCAAGGTCAAGATTATTTAACACAGATTTATTCTCGTAAATACAGGAATTTAAAAATTCTGTTGGAAGCAATTATTTTTGTCTACATTCAAATGAGAAGGAAAAGTGAAAGTTCAACTTTTCTCTGTTAATGATGAATTATTCAGAGAAAAATATTAAAGTATAAAATGCATCATTCCTAAGTATCAACTGCTATTCGGCACTGCCATCTCCTGCATAACTGATTCCAAGGAAGAGCTGGCTCCTGGGGACCAGCACCATCCATTCCTTTCTTGATGTCATCACTACTTTCTAACAGGTAGGAACAATGCTCTAGAAACCCTTGTATGTCCATCTCTCATAGCATCTAACCAAGGGTTAGATAACGCATTCAGAGTATAGATCAAAGTGTCTAGTAAGCTGTGCTCTGGTTTCAAAGTTGGTGAATTTCCTCCCCTCACTGTTGGAGCACTACATGACTGGGCTGGTGCCAAGGGAGATGCAGAAACATGAGACACAATTGCCATTTAGAGAGCTAGTAATACAAACAACCATAAAGCAAAGCAGAATAAAGTGAGTGCTAAAGGGGAGGCAGGAGCAGAGCAATCGCAGAAGAGTCAGAATTGGGGCAGGAGCCTCAGGGAAAAAGGACAAGTCTTCCACAGTGGAAGCGACAGGCTGCAAGCCAGACACGAAGGGCCTGTCTAGCCAATGAGATCATTTTGAAGGATGCTGCAAAGATGTTTATATTTTTCAACATTTCAAAACATTTTTAAGTACTGTTTACCTAGCAACCACTGCCACTAATTCTTATTTATTCATTAATGCAGGCAATTTAGACAAAAATTCATTAACGTGGCATGAGTTATATTAAATTATTAGGTCTTAGTTCTTTAAATATTTAAAGCCTCAGATTAGTTGTCAAATAATAGACCTGGATGACCAAGCTTTTACTGTATAACCCCAAATCCATTTGGTTCACTAAATAAAATATTTTAAAATGTTTTTCACTTTAAATGACTTATATTTGATTCTATTCCTAAGTGAAGTAAGGGGTCACATTTGGAGACTGCCTTATCCGCACCATGCATATTTAGTTACTGCATCTTAAAAAGGTTTTGCTTCTCAAGTTCTTCTTTTTTTAATTTTGTTTCTTTAATATTTTCTTTATTACTTTTATCTTATGTGCATGAGTGTATGCCTGCATGGGTGTAAGTGCACCCGTGTTGTGTAATGCCCATAGGGGTCAGAAGGTGTCAAATTTACTGGAACTGAAGTTAAGGACAGTTGTCAGCTGCCATGTGGGTGCTGGGAACCCAACCCAGGTCCTCTGCAAGAGCAGCCAGTGCTCTAAACCACTGAGTCATCTCTCTGGACCCTCTCAGGTTCTTTTACTCAATCAACACTTAATACATGTTCACAGAAAAGTGAAGGAAGGGTAGGGTCTGGTGAGATGGCTCAGTGGTTCAAAGTGCCTGAGGCCAAGCCTGATCATCTCAGTTTGATTTCTTGGACCCACAAGGTAGAGGCAGAAAACCTGCTACTGATGGCTGTCCTCTGATCTATACTACACTACACACACACACACACACACACACACACACACACACACACACACACAAAATATAAAAAAAAAAAAAAAATTAAAGAAAAGTGAAGAACATCAGTTAAAAGATATCAGCATACAATGGTGTCTGAGGGACCAGCCTGAGTGACACTAAAGAGCTCCTCTTAGAGGCAACATTGAAAAGGTATACCACAATACTCTAACAACGCGTAGGCCTGGGAGGCATCTATAAAGGCTCTTTTCCCCCACCATGGACAGGTGTCTCACCAATCATGCCACCTGCTTTAAAATTCTCACTGAAAGTGTCTGTTTCACAAACTCTTTTGATAAACATATTCTGGTGTTTGTAAGTTTTTGCAGGAGAGAGCAGAAGACAGGCCAGGGTGGAGACCAAGACAGGAAATACATGTAGAGCAGAGAAAAGGAGGAAACGAATGGAGACCATTGAGGGTAAAGGAACATCGGGCATTCCTGAGTTTATGACAGGAGAATTACATCAGCCACCTTCATCTGCCCAAGGACTTGGGGTTATGACAACTCCAAAGGGGGGGATCAGCCACTAAAGATGGAAAGTCGTACAGAAAATCAGAGAAGGAATTCCATGTAGGACAGCACTGCTTTTCCTCCAAGCTTTTATGCAACCATCCCAGCTGCCTTTCCTCTGGAGTTTTCTAAGAACAGAAATTCTCTGGAGTCAGAGGCCACAGGCTGTAATGTCTCCAGCGCACTCTAGAACAGAACAAACTCAAATAAAGAGGCCAAACAGAATGCTTTCTTGTGACCTAAAATCTCATGTCTTCCCAGCAGTTGACTATGGGGTTTGGAAATAACCTTGTAAGAGAGTCAAGTTTTGAGCACACAAAGCTTGCTCAATGAATTCAGCATGTTCTCTGAGGGAAGATTGGGAACTACAAGGAAACATCTGTCGATTCTCCCTGTGGTCACACTGTCCCCACCAGATGTTCAGACTCTGATCCACTGAGACACCAAAGTTCTTCTGGACTTAAAAATGGTTGACTCAATTCCCACAAAATGAGCATCTTGCTAATAGATTTATATTATAAATTTTGGTAGAGATTCATGTTTCATCAATTCAGAGAAAAACAGCATATTTTATGACTGTATGTAAACCTTAGGAATAGACTGAAAGTAACAAAGAAATAAAATGGAAAGATTCTTCTCACAATCAAGTAAGAGTCCATTTTTTTTCTATTACACTGCTGAAAAAGAAAATATTTGCTGATACCAGCTGAGGCTGGGGATGGGGTACTTTTATAACTGAGGGGTAAGAAAATCAACTAGTATAATCTGCCTGGAATAGTATGACATCTCTGTTAGAATGGAAGGTTCTTGGCTTCAGCAGTTTCACCACTGATAACCTGGTCTTCAGAGGTATTTACAAGCATTCATTAAGACAAAGTACAGACTATGGAAATAATGAAATAAATCACTGTATTTTCACATGATAGCTACAAAAGTTATTGAAAAGAAAGAGGTGGATGAACGTAAGTGGATAAGAAAAAAGGTTCTACAAATGAAAAGAGTAAGTTTCAGAATAACACATTCATCTCTTGTAAAAAATATGAAAAAGGTTAAGTGGAAAATCATGGGCTATTTTTCTCTTTGAATTTGTTTGTCAAAACATAAATAAAGAAGAGTCTGGGGAGATGGCTCAGTGGTACACAAGAGATGCCAAAACCCTTTAAATGTCCGGTGGGTGTGGCATCCCATCTGGAACCCCAGCTTCATTACGCAGAAATGGAATTCCCAGAACAAGTTAAGTTAGCTGGGAAGACTAGTCCTATAGGTGAGCTCTGGTTTGATGGAGAGACCCTGTCTCAAAGAATGAGGGGGAAGAGTAATCAAGGAAGATTCCTAACATCAACCTCAGGCCTCCACATGCACATGTACACATGTGGACCCGCACCCCCCCATACACGTGCTCCCTCACATGCGAACATGCATACATATAGATAAACATACCACATAACTTATTACAGACATCTATTCTTAGACATTTAAAGGTACATAATGGGCCAGGTGTGATGGCACACCCTTTTGATCCCAGCACCAGGGAGACAGGTGGATGAATCTCTGAGTTGAGGCCAGTCTAGTCTACATAGTGAAACCCTGTCTCAGAAAAAAAAGAAAAAAAAAAAAAAAAAAACCTAAGATGTCATTTAAAAAGAAATGAGAAGCTGGGTGTGGTGTTGCATGTTTTTAATCCCAGCACTCGGAGGCAGAGGCAGGCTGATCTCCCTGAGACAGAGGTCAGCTTGGTCAAGAAATAAGAAAAGTTAATTTTTAACAGGCAGACCAAACTGTTCTCATTTAAGGATTGACAAGAAGCTGCTAATTAGAGGCACTTCTAATGGCTGAGGGGAAAGTGGGAGGAGATAGACCCTGAGAAGAAATGGGTTTGCAGTTCACTTTATACCTGTCTGAGCTATTTTTTTTTTTTTTTTCAAACTACGGACATGTGTGACTTCCACAATTTAAAAAAAATATGGAAAAGTAAAAGCACAAAACCAATTAACAACACGACAAAATCAAGAAATATAAACATATTAGATTTCAGAGCTAACTCCTAGCATGACAGAAGTCCTTGAAAACACTGAGCTCATAGGTACAAATGATTATCGGGTATTTAAACCAAACATGAACTTCCTTTGCAAATCTTAAGTGACAACAGAACCCTAGGCTTCTAGAAGTCTTTTGAGTTTCCTCAGAACCTGGGTCAGAGTGCCAGTGACACTCCACTCACTCACCTGTTGTTTAATGCTCCCCCGAGGTCACAGTCACAAGGTCGACATCCATCCAAATCGTTGCTTAAGCCCCAATGCTGTGGCTACAGAACAAAAGATTAAATATGTAAGCGTGGGTTCCTGTGACTGCACAAGAGACAAGCAAGGGGCAAGTTACAGCGTGCCCAGATTTCCACCAAATGTTTATTTCCACTGTGAAAGCAGACAGAACACAGGGATATTCTGAACCAAAGAAACCCAAGTGCTAGACCTCAGAGTAAGAGGGCTGTCTTGCTCCCAGCAAGCAGTATAGAGACCAATTTTCTTCATTTGAATTACTCTAGCAGTAAGAAAAATATGGCAAATATTTAGCATGCCTTTACATTTTCCTTCAGTTCAGTCTGTCATAAATCCCACAAGGAGAGCCTTTAGGATTCATGTACGTGGAAACACAGCAGAAAACAAGGGTTATTCTCACAACAAGAAGTCAGGACACTACTGGGCCTTAGGATGCTAGCCATACAGGGAAGATCTCTGCACTAAAAAAGTGAGCAGATTTTTATCTGCTCAAAGGCTCACTCAATTTAAATCCGACATTCAGAAATGTATCTAAGAATCTATCAGGATTGTATACAACCATACAAATTTAGTGGTCATGAACATACATTATGTATGGGGCAGGTGGATCCCCTAAACAAAACTCAACAAAGGCAACATAAAAACACTGTAGAAGACACAGGATAATTTTTAAACTACTTTTTGTAAGTATTCCATCTGGGGCTGGGGATGCAGCTCAGTGGTAGAGCACTTGCTCAGCATGCGTAAGATGTGGGTTCAATGAATAGCCCCCCCCACCCCCTCTTCTACAAATTTACTTGAACCACTAACAATTAACATTTTGGTTATATTTCCTCCAGATTTTGTTTGCCCTGATGAAATTTTTCCTACATAATCAAAGTATTATTCACACCTGTGGCCTCTTGGCTCTGTTTTGTCTTGTTTCTTAGTTTAACAAAACAAGCGTTTCTTTGCCTTACTGCCGTTTTCAGCAGCAACCAAGTATCACATTGTATGGAAGTCCCCAAGTTTACTCAAGTATTTTCCCACTCCTGAGTCCATGTCTACTGCCATGATTAATAAAGACGCAATGAGTCTGGAGGGAATATATCTTGGTCCAACTTTCTGATGATTTCATTAGGATTCTCAGAAGTGGGGTCACTGGGTTAGGAGCATGTACATTTTTGTTGGCTTCGGAATCATCTCTGCAAATGCTTTCCAGAGTAGGAGCCAATCTGCAGTCCTGTCAGCAGCTAACAAGTAGCAGCACCTCATTACATCCTCACTAACAGCACTTTGATTTTAAAGATTAAAATCTTTTCATGTGTATCAATGTTTTGCCTGCATGTATTCATATGCATCATGTCTGTGCCTAGTGCTAACAGGAGGCTGGGAGCCACCACGTGGATGGTGGGAATTGAACCCAGGTCCTCTGCAAAAGCAGCCAGTGCTCTTAACCGCCGACTCATCTCTCCAGCCTCAGCATTTTCTTTTTTTTGTTTCTTTGTTTTCTGTTATTGTTTGGTTTTTTTGAGACAAAGTCTCCCTGTAGCTTTAGCTAGCCTGGAACTCACTATGTAGGCCAGGCTGGCCCCAATCTCACACAGATCTGCCTGCCTCTGCCTCCTGAATGCCTGGATTAAAGAAGTGTGACACCACACCTGGCCAGCATTTTCATTTTTAAAAAACTGTTCATTTGGCTACAAAAGTGGTGTTCTATTGGGGTTTTATTTATAATTCTAACAGTGAACAGCTTGTCAGATTATTCACTAGTAATTCCTGCTTTATAACTTTTCTACTTGTGTCTCTTAGCATTAACACATAAGGATGATGGTAAAATCTGTGATGGAAAAGCATTCCATATTAAAACATTATGCCAGTGATGATGGTGCACATGTGCCATATGAGGACTCTGGTTGTAGACATGAGAGGACTGTGAATTCAAGGTGAGCTGGGCTACATACCACAGACACAAAAACAAAAACAAAGCAAGCATATTCACAAACTACTTATCCCATGAGATTAGGATTTACTTACCAGGCACTGGTCACAACGTTGTCCTGTCACCAGGCGCTTACAGTAGCAGTAACCAGTCTCAGAGTCACAAGGATTCCCGCCAGGAATTGTCCCCAGGGGATTGCAAGCACAAGCTTTATCAAAGACAAAATGAAGCAAAGAACACAATGCAAGTGAGTCCCAAATGGTGGTTTGGCCATAGAATTACAAAGTAAGAAGGGAACTGTGTCCCTGGGAGAAATCCCCAATTGTGTACTGAACTGACTTACATTTACAACCAAATGGATCTTCAGCACTTAAGTCATAGAAGCCTTCTTTGCAAACATCACAATGTTCTCCTTCCACATGTAATTTGCACCGACACTGCCCGGCAATGAGACCAGCAGAAAAATCAGTGTAACTGTCACAGATTCCTTCATTCATAGAACCAGCTGGATCACAGGCACATTCTAAGAAGAAGAGCACCATGTTAAATGCACCAGGAAGCACGCCAAGCTTTTGTATAAATATGTATGTTCTCCACCCTCCAAAGCCCACCAAAGTGAACTGAAGAACGCCTAGTTAGCAAGTAAATGCCTCTCCCAACATCTAGACAGTGATTAACAATGCTGGCTCTGTCGTGCAGAGCTTCAGCTCTGAGATTAGTGTTGACAGATACTCCCTGTGAAAAGCAATGGAAGCAGGTTCCAGGTGTGACATCTCCCAACGTACGTTCACAGAGATTTGGGTCTCGGATGTCTCTCTCTGGGTGCTGGAAGTAGAACGGTTTGCACTGCTCACAGTTGCGTCCCATGGTGTTGTGCTGACAGTTGTCACATACTCCTCCACTGACATTCCCAGTGGCCAGGAAAACCGCCATGTCAAAGTGACATGAGCTGGAATGTTCATTGCAGTTACATTCTGTGTGAAGAGACCAATATTAAGAATAGCCTTCTAAATCAATTTACCACTGGAGGATGGAGCTCATTTAGCAAATCAGGGGCTGAGTTCAGGTGAAAGCAATCAGCAAGAAGGCCCTGGAGGTGAAAAGGGACATATGCCACACTGACCCTGGTTGAAACCTCAAGTCAGGCTGGAAACTTTAAAAATGTGAATTCTATGAACAATTATTGCTATTAAGAATGGAAATCGCTTGGGGAAAGTCCCCAGGGAAACATAAGCTCAGGAGGCATTGACATTTCAATATGAGGCTTATAGGTTAAAGGCCTGGCTGGGAAGCAATTGGATCACAAAGATTCTGCCTTCACACATGGCTTAATCCGTGGATAGACTCCTCAGTGGATGGCATTATTGCAAGGTGGTAGGAACCAGGAGGGCAGAGTCTTTTGGAAGAAGGAGATGACTTGGGGTGGTCTCTGAAGGCTGTTATCTGTCCCTCTGACTTTCTCTGCCACAGACCTTCTTCCATGTGTTTCTGCCTTACCAAGACTTCAAAGCAATGGCACCAAGTGACCACAAACTGAACCAGGAGTAAAAATAATTCTTTGCTCCTTTTATTTGATTTACTCAGCTATTTTTTCAGTGATGAAAACTTACTAACACAGGAAGAAATTTGCCATTCCGCTGAGGGTACCTTTAGCCCTGCAGACTGGAATGGATCGAAGTATTTCTATTACTCTAAAGGCCATTCTAGGTGATGCATTCCTAGGAAAGACTCTTTGGGCTCCATGCTTTGCAGACTAGGACAGGACATGTGGGGGAGTCCAGTGGAGAGTGGTGCACACTTGAATCCCAGCACCTAAGAGGCTAAAGTATTAGGTTGTGAGTTCATAGTGAGATATACTAACAACAACAAAGAATCCCACATAAGGCATCCATTCAATTCCCCTCCTCTCCATCCTCACTACCACACTAGGCCAGGCAGGCTCTTTGATAGAAATGAAGATCTGTTTAACAGCTCTATAGCTCACTTTTTCTGGTACAGAATTTCCCTCTCTAGCCTTTCAGCAGTCACACTGGCCCAAACCAGCCTTAAATCATTTTGTCATCAACAGTTGTTCTTTTCTGTTTAAAAGGAGGTTTAACTCAGCATGGCCCCCACCTTGTCTGTCTCCCCTGCAAAGGGCCATCCTGCCAAATGACTGAACTGAGTCTTATCCACGGATGCATCCTTAGTATCTACCTATCTGTATTCCTCCCTCTCCCTAAGCAACCCCAAGCAGTCACCCAGCACAGCAGGTTCTACTTGACTACTCCAATTACCTCTGCTTTCTGAACTTCTACAACAAACCTCCTAGAGAAGCAAAGGTAAATGTGCTCTTCAAGGGTAGGAAAATATATCAGAATCACTGTGAGTCAGGAGGATAAGGTGGTGGTGGTTAATATTACCACACATCTCTGCCTAGAGGGTAATACTAGGAGAGAGGGAGGGACGGGAGGACAGAGGAAAGGAAGAATTTAGAAGGGAGGGAAGGATGGCAGTATACTAGAGGCTACAGTTGGCTGGGGATGGAAACAAAGCTGGAAACCTACTCCATCTCTTAGACCATAATGATATGCCATAGACCTTTAATCACTGTGATAAAATACCTGAGAAAAACAACTTAGACAAGGAAGGACTTATTTTGGTGCACGCATTCAGTGGTAACACTTCATGGCTGCCTGGCTCGTTTCTAGGCCTGTGATGAGGCAGAACATGATGGCAGAAAGGCATGGAATAGTAGAGCTGCTTACTCTTTCTGGCAGCCAGATAGCAGAGGAACAAACCAGAAGGAGACAATGCAGCTTCCAAGGAATACTCCTAGTGACCAAGTACCTCCAATTAGGTCTTACTTCATAGGCTATTTGGCTGGGAATGCATCAATGGACTAACCCATTGATGAAGTTAGTACCCTTGAAAACTAATTACCTCTTAATAGCATGACCAGCTAGGGACCAAGCCTTCAACACAAGAGTCCTTTGGGGGCAAAACTCAAATATAGCTCAAAAATACTGTATTTTTCTTTCATTTCCCTTGTCTTCTTGTCTTGAAAGCAGATACAATATCATGGACCACATTTCAGTCTTCCTGAGTGAATGCCAAACATACTAATTTTTGTTCACTGAACTCAGTGCAAATGTATTATTATTGGATGAACAAAACCAGGAAAATGACAGCGACTTTTCTTCCCTCTGCGAAAGTACACTTTTAGAGCACAGCTACACTAGAATCCTCACTGTCCAAACTTACTTCCGCTGACACTTACTTTTGCAGGCATTGCTCTTTCGACCTTTAGCAGGTCTCCATGGCAAATCATGGTAGAAATCCATGCACAGCTCACAGTTCAAGCCCTTGGTGTTATGTCTGCACATGCAGTGTCCATGAACCTAAGAATTTACAAACCAGGAAATGCAAGTCAGAAGTGTGTGGTGGCCAAACTTCTCCAGTCAGCAGAGATATCCCCCTTCCATTCTCGTCTCTAGTTTTGCGCAGTGAGGGTTTATCTGTTTTTAGATTTTCTCTCCTCTCTCCCCCACTAAGCAAGTTCTGTCTGTGTAGCTGATGGCAATTGCCCCCATTTCTAGAATAGTTCCTATGATGTAATGGACATTCAATTGAGTATCTATGAAAAGTAGCAACATAAGAATTTATAAACAAAAACTAGGGCTATTAGATGACTCAGTGGGTATAGGTACTTGCTTTTAAGCCTGACAACCTGAGTTTCATCCCTGAGACTCATATGGTAGAAGGAGAGAACTAACTCCTAAATGTATACAACTGACCTCCACACCTCCCTTCCTGCCCCATCTCTGCTCTCTGTCATACACACATACACACACACAAATTTTAATGTCATAAATTTTTTCAATAATGTCTCACTATGTAGCCTGACTGGCCTGAAATTTGCTAGGTAGGCCAGGCTGGCCTCAAACTCACAATGATCTGCCTGCCTCTCTGTTTCCCAAGTGCTGGAATTAAAGATGTGTGCCACCATGCCTGGAATAAAAATTTCCTTAAAAAAAAACTAGTTATATAAGAATTTTTAAAACCCCAAACTACTGTTAATACAAACCTATAAAAGTCATGATGCAGAACTAAATACATGCCCATCATCTGAGAACCAATTCTTTTTCTAAAAAAGATTTATATTTTCACTTACATGTATGAGTGTGTGTCTATGTGAGTGTGTGCCATGTGTATGCAGGTGCCCATGGAGGCCAGATAGAGTGTTGGATTCTCTGGACTTGGAGTTATACCCAGCATGGGTGCTGGGAACAGAACTCAGGTCCTCTGCAAAAAGCATTAAGTTCTCCTATTCACTGAGACATTTTTCCAGCCCCAGAACCAGTTCTTACCACTGCAAGTTTTGCCACAACATCAGGTTAAGCATTTCCTTTAAAAAGTTTGTTTTGCCTGCTTTTTTTTCCCCTTTAGGCATAGCACTTAAAAAAAAAAAAAAGTTTTTTTCATCCAGAATGAAAACTTAAAAACCAAGCATTTACATTTACCTTCCTTCAAGTAAGGAAATATAAACTCTGAAAAAATATACAAATTAATTTGTTTTATAAAAACCCCAAGATGCACTACTCATGCTGTTCCACAGCAAGGTGTGCTTAAGACCCCCGAGGCTGTGAGGACAGATGTCATTTCTACTCAGCAAACATGCATGCACATGAGCTCTTTACCTTAACTCTGGTTTCCACTGACTGGAATTTAGGAACAGGACCAACAGGTCCCTCCTCTTCCTGCACCTGTCTTGACAGGAGTGCAGTTAGGTGAAGATTAAAATCCTTTCATTACCCGGGGTGCATTAAACTGAAACAGTCTCCCAGCCCACACCACAAGACACTCAGCATCTGATATGTAGGACAATGTACTCCAAAGCTGTAAGACTGACCTGACATCAGCTACGTAGATTTGTTAAGCTGGAAAATAAATACAGTCCGAAGCATTCTCAGAAACAGATTAGATTAACGACACATCCCTCCCCTTCAGGCTAAGGGAGCCTGTTAAGAACCCTACTTGTTAACCCATGAAGACTTCCAGTTGGAGTAAGGAGAAGGCGAAAGTTTTGAAGGTGGAGTACATAGGATTCTGCACCTTTTGGACAAGGACTAACAAGCTTTGAAGAAACAGGCAGTAAATAAGCCTGGCATTCATGTCATTACGGGAGGCCCAGAGGCTGGTCTGCGGTGCCTAGGCAGACCAGGGAGCTAGATTTGAATGCTCAGCTCTATTCACTCACCAATGCTAGCTCCTTGGTCTCCTCTCTCCAGGTCAGCTGGCCCCAGTGACCTCCAGAGTCATATGGGGCATTAAAATCTTAAGGCTTCTAAGAATTTTCCTGGAAACCACTTAATTAGGTTGGACTAGAATACCCCAGCCTCTCTAACCTTTTGGCAAAACACTGAAATCTCAAATTTCAAAACATGCAATTTGTAAACAAAAATACAAAAGTGTTAAAGGAAAAAAACCGGAAAGAAAAGACAAAGAAAACTCCATTTGATCTCTAAATGGTATCACATGGGCCTGAGTTACAATTATCAGTTTCTTTGGACTGGAATCAACTTGCTCTTTCTAGCACAAAGACTGAATGTTTGTGGTTTTTAATCTTTCTTAATATAAAGACAGACTGGATTGTTATTTAGACAACTTTTTAATCCTTGGTGACTAAAAGATCTATTTTGACAACAGCCCACAGTACAAATTCTAAAAATTATTCAAGGTCTCTGAAACTAGTAGTCTGTATATTCTTGTAATCTAAGAAAGTCTTCAAAAGGTGAAATAACCATTTACCCACCAATCTGCCACAAAGTGCGAAATCTAAGTTGAGAAAATTAAATCCCCTAAAAAACAGGCAAGTTTTACAGATTAGCTTCCACTAGCCTTTTGGAGTTCCCTGTAGAAAGGGTGGAGGGCACAGAACTCACCATTCCTTCTACTTCTTCACTGACTCCGTCCACAGGGGCACATTCGCTGGCATGGCCATAGCAGAAGCAGTTCCCGCGAACCACCATATCATAAACTGCATAATAGTACTTTTCCCTGATCTCCATTCTAGAGTCCAGAAGGTTATCTCCCAGAGTGTGTAGCTTCACAAACTTGATCCTCAGGTTGGTGATTTTTAACAGATCTACAAAGGTCACCAAAAAGATGAAAGGAATGATCAATCAAGCAAGCATTCTTTGGTGATTATACATCATTTCTCTTTAGTGAAAAGCTGGATAAGGGACAATGGCTTAAGGAAATGTCACTCTTCTTGAATGAATTATGGGAGAGCTGTAAAGCCTAATACAATGTGACAGTCTCTGGAAGCAGGGAAGATGGCTACCTCCTCATCAGTTTAATAAGAATATCTGTCCTGGGATGCATCTGTTTGCAATGAAGTTTCAGGAAGATGTGTGAAAGTGAAGAAACTATTAAGAAGGCAATTACATGAGTTCCAGAACCCACTGTCCAGTAATCTAAAGTGCTGCAATACCATCTGGCTCTCTCTGCCATTAACGTCAGTGTCAAAGTCAGAAATTCCATTCGGGTGGGAGAGGATATATCATAGGTTCCAATTCCGATTATTACTGTACCAGGAAGAGATATCTGGTTATTTCTGGAAAAGAAACACTATCTGAAATTTCCTGCCACTTAAATCCAAGTTACCGAAACAGATTTAACACTAAAGAATAAATACAATCCAGGGAAAGAATATGTCAACCAAGTTTTAAATAACATTGTAGCCTATAACTTTTCTGTCTCTGTTTCACAAAACGTTTCCAAGCTTATCAATATAATATGATGACATAAGGACAATGGGGCTCCTTACCAGGATGTCAGGGTTAAGTCACTTTTTTCTAAGAAAGAGTTACCTCTAAGCTAGTTTGCTTTCTTTTATCTTTCCTCTTTCACCATATGTCTGTAGCTTATTCCAGAAGCTGGGCTATCAGTCATGTCTACAGTGATTGAATAACTCAAGATCTAGTCAACCAGCCCCACCAGTGTTTTCCTTAATGACTAAGGTTTCCTGTTAAAGTGGACCTCAGGAGATCTGGTTAGTCCATCTGTCATCTTGCTGCTGTCTGAATCCTGAGATTGCACTTAAGCTTTCCTTTTGTTTGTGCTAATGCACATTTACTATGTATGATACAAGACCAAATGGTAGTAGTTTAGTGCACTGGATACTTTCAAAGCCCAGACACAACTTTAAGTAGCTATAATGCATGCATAGCTTACAATGAAGACTACAGAAATGGCTGGGGGCGGAGAGGGAAAGTCCATGCATTAAACTTAAGGTCTTTGTAAAACTCAAATATGAAAGAGAGAACCCACAATCCTGCGCTGAATGGGAGCTATGAATGCCATCATCTGTAAAACGCTCCTGCACACAGTGAGCACTATTGACCAGAGGCCAAACAACAAACGTGAAGGGCATTTGGAGTATTTAGAAACCCTTGAACTGATCTTTGTGGAAGCCCTCAGAAGAGCAAATACCCGCCCGACTCTCTCCTGCCATGTGGAACAACGGAACCTTGGGCTGCCTGCTCTTCTAAGAGGCAAGTCACTTTTAAAAGTGAGTCTCAGAGGTGTCAACAATGGTGACAGCTCAAGAAATACTGTTCCCTTGATTACTAAATAAATCAGAAGCAGAATCCCCTAACATGGCCACCTCCATGATACAGAAAGTCTCTGGATGCCATTGAACAAAAGGTAAGAGAATTAATATTATAAATGCAACATGTTTACCAAAGTCCCACATGCTTCACCTGCAAAAGAGACGATGAATCTTTTTAGGGACTCAGGAGACGTTTGTCAGGAGATGCAGACATCTTTCACAACAAAATTTTGAGACATGAAGGAACAGTTTTAATAGCTCACTCAGAGATTAGCCCAGAGTTGGCCATGCCATTAAACATTTGTTTTACTGTAGAATGAATGAGGAAATTACACACCAGAGACAGTCTGAGCCACATGTAAAATTAATTTAAGAGGGGAAGCAGCCCTTTTCTGGCAATATTCCCTGGATTTCTTTCATTCTGTTATCCCATGCTATAAGGCTTGGAAGTTCCAGGAGACCTTGGTTAAAAACAGCTGGCAAAGATCAACAAGATTCAGATCAACTGATTGCACCCCTAGAGCAAGAGAAAACAAGACAGTCTGTCTCCTTTTTTTACCCTGACATTCAGGACAGGCTCTATGCAAGATCTAAGCCACAGCTCCTGGCAACAATATTAAGATCAACAGCAACGGCAGCTTCAATGAACTGAACATTTTCCATGTCAGAACTTTTGCTGGTCATTTATATACATTGTGTTATACCCAACAACTTTAAGGTAAGTATTACTATCTCATTTAATGATTAGAAAAGAGGCCAAAAAAAGAACCAGGTCACATGGCTACAATATGATGGAACTGAAATTGAAATCCAGGTCAAACTTTTTTGAAAGCCAGTTAGTTCAATTGTTACACATTCTGTTCCCCAAGATCACACCTTGAGCAGTGGAAAGTACTCTGAACTGAGAATCAAATCATACTGACTCAAGATTCACCAGCCATTTAACATCCCCATTGCCTTTGTACATTATACAACTCTGTACCTCAATCCATTCATCTATCAAAAGGCTTTATAACCCTCCACAGAGTATGCCTGGCACTTGTGATTTTTCTCAGTATTCTTGCTTTCCATCTTCTGTGGGTAAGAGTCCTTGCCAAGAGTTTTAGCAGAGCACAGGCCGCCAGTCAGAGATATTTCCTAGTATCTCCTGTGCTATAGCTACAAATTTAATATAGCCCTTTACAGATTAGAATGAGGACATAGTAATGGTGATCTAACTCTACTTGTGTGGATAAACCTAGGAAGAGGGGTAAGTCTTATAGCTGGGATCAGCTAGATTTAAAAAATAATAAAGCATGCTCAGTTAAATTTGAATTCCAGTTAAACACTTTTTAGTGTAAGTAGGTCCCAAATATCGTATGATACAAACTTATATGAACCACAAATATTGCATGGGACATACTTGTACTAGTCACAAATGTTATATGGAACTTTAAAAAAAGAATATGCTATTTATCTGTAACTCAAATTTAACTGGGTATTTTATTTAGTAAACCTAATTGTGACAACTGAGTTTTACTTCTTTGAAAATCCCTCCAGCTGATTTCTTACAAGAAAAAGAAACTTCTATTTTATTTGAGAGACTATTTTTTTTATTAGAATAGCTTAATATATTGAGCTTAAAAGAAAAGGTCATATGGCCAATGTAATTGTTGGAACACTGTTGACATGAATCCGTTATTATTATCAAAATGTGTTCCCATCAGTGAAGGCTGACAGATTACTGGTAATTTCAAGAACTTCTGGAAAACTGCAGAGGAAGGAAGAAGGTGGATTTAGCGCTGAGTGTTGAGATTCTGGGTGGCAGGACTCTGGTAATACTTAGTCCATGAATGATGTTTCCCACCCAGGTATTTACTTAAAAAACAAACTTACTCTGTATCCTTGGGCTATAAGGGTCTTCTATTTTGAAAGCAGGATCTAATGCACGGAATATCACCTAAAGATAGATAAAAGTGTTGGTATTTTTGCAACGATCAAAAAGTAGACAGGCAAGAAAATCATAAAATAAAGCAGCACACAAACCTCTCCTTCTGTTGAGGGCTCAATGTCAGAATACCGAGAGTCACAGATGATGTCATCCACTCTCTTCATGGGGCCAGTTGAAATGCCTGGGAAGGAGCTCTCACAGTCATAGGCGAAGTATCTATACACGCCCCAGGTCTTCCCAAAGTCAGAAGACCGCTCTATCAGCATAGCAGCTGGCCGGAAAGTCTAGAAGCAGCAAGAGTCCCATTTGATGTTTTTGATTGCTAATCTGTCCATTTTAAAAATGTCACTCATCGCATGCCACAAGCCTTGACTACATGTGGTTGGTATTTGAGACTGCAGCCGAATGTCAAGCACTACAAGCTGTTCTATGGGACCTGTTCCTGCAAGAAAGCGTCTGGTCTCTAAATTTAACACTTTTCCCCACACCAGCAGGTTAGGAAGCTACTTCTCTTCAGAAGCTGATTATAAACAGGCCTTAATAGCAAACATATTTTGGTATATTTAGCCACCATGCCCATGATACAACTGAATTTGAGTGCCTGCTCTTTCACATCTTCATTTAATCATTCAATAGATATGTGACTGCCATTCAGCACCAGACAGTGGATTATATTTTGTCCATAAGCTACACACAGCCTGATAAGGAATCTATATGGACATAAAAATTCATAGTACAGTGTCAAATACCATAGTACAGTCATGTGAAACATGATCTGAGAATACAACAGCACTATTCACAGCAGCCACAGAGGCAAAGAAGCCCAAGTGCCTATCACCTGGTAAAGTGGAAGAGCAATTGAAATAAACACAATGGACTATTATTCAGCCACAAAAGGAAGGTAACTGATACGCACTGTAACAAAGATGAACCTTGAAACACTGTACTAAGAGAAATAAGCCATACAGAATTTCAAATATTATATGATTCCATTCATATGACATATCTAGGTTATTAGAGACAGAAAGTAGACCCAAAGCTTTCAGGGGAAGTGGGGAGGGACAGCAGGGAGTCACTGCTCAGTGACTATAGAGCTCCTGCTTGGGGTGATGAAAACATTCTGGAAATGAATAATAATGTACAACATCTTGAATATATCTACCACCACTGAGCTGTACACTTAAAAATATTTAAATGGCAAATTTTGTTATGCATACTTCACCACAAAAGCAAAAATGTTTAAAGGAGGAAAAAACCCAAAAGAATGTTTCACAGAGAAACTAGCATCGAACTGAATCTCAGGGACTGAGAAAACTGCTCAGTGTGGTCCTAGGTTCAATGCCCAGTACTGAAAAT